TCACTGATTCATTATGCTTCATCTTTGGCCTTTGAATAGCATGTGAACAGATGCAACAAAGTTGATCTTTCAAGGTCTGAGCCTTGTTTGCCTGGAAAATGGCTTTAGGGAATAGTTTTGCATAGTTGTAATCTACAACAACAACAACAAGATTCCATTTATAGGGCGCCTTTCACGTCGGGAGGACGTCTCAAGGCGCTGTACAGTTGGGTCAGGACCCGAGCAGGGGGGAAATGGTCAGGGTGAGGGGAGGGAAGGGAGGGGGCGAGGAGGGGATAGAGAGTCGCGAGGGGAGCTGAAGGCACGGTCAAAGAGAAAGGTCTTGAGACTGACCTTGAAGGAGGAAAGGGAGGAAGCGGCGAAGACACTGGGGGACAGAGTTCCAGAGCCTCGGGGCTGAGAGGCTGAAGGCCCGGCCACCGATAGTAGGGCGGTTGGGCGGGGGATGTGGAGCAGACCGGAGCCAGAGGAACGGAGGGTACGGGCAGGTAGGTAGGGGGATAGTAGGTCGGAGAGGTAGGAGGGAGCAAGGCCGTGAATGGCCTTGTAGGTGAGGATGAGGATCTTGAATTCGATCCTCTGGGGGATGGGGAGCCAGTGGAAGCGAGAGAGGGTGGGAGTGATGTGGTCCCGAAGACAGGGGCGGGACAGTACACGAGCTGTAGAGTTCTGAATCTAATCAAATGCAAGGATTATTATTATTATTATAAATGCTAAAAAGTTATATTTGGGCCAAAGTGTAGAAAAGGTAGAATGGATATATTCAGAAATGTTGTAGCAAAACATCAGGTAAAATAATATTTAGTTTCACTTTAGTTCAAATGATGTTGTGCCACAGGACTCAAACAATGGGACACTGCAATTTGTCAATATACCAGCAAAATAAAATCTTTAAAGTAAATGTTCCTGACCCATTCTCCCTGAACTTCACTACTGCCACATTGTTTACAAAGGGTAAAGATTAGCAGTGAGTAAATGACCAGGTGGTGTGATGGTGAGACTTTACATACATAGATCTTTGCTGAGTTTCTGTATTTACCACTGTGCAATTGTGGAGGTGGTGCATTTGGCTTTGATATTTAAAAATGGAAATAATCAGCTCAAGTTCCCACTTGGGTGACTATTAATTGACTCCTAATTGTGTAGAGAGTTTAGCTGAAGACAAGATTGGCATCATCTGATTCGATTTCTATTCTACACCCATCCACCTCAGGATTGAGTAGCTTGCTAACCTTTCTGTTAGGCTTGCATGTGGAAAATGACCTCTTGGAGAAAGGGGTGGGTGGGCTGCCCAAAGTAATAAAACTACTAAAGCATAAGGCACTGCCTTGAGGAAGGAGGGACAGAAAGTTGGATGGAAAAATAGTTGGAAGATGAGGAAATACACACAACACATCCCAGGCTCAGACGATGTATACTTCATTCTTCTGGGTGACATCACATTGAGTGTTTTTGTCATCTTGCAACATTTTCCTTCTTTGGTATTAAAAAGCAATCTTAAAGCAAAGTGAATGGAAATTTGATGTGTTATCTACTTGTTAAAATTTCCTGGGGTGCATCATCCTTGTTCTTTCAGAAGTATTGTACTTTGCCTTCTTTTAGGAAACGTGGTTCAGTGAAGTGACGTTCTATTGCTCATTTGAGTATTCTTAAACTAGATACCCATTGACTTTAGTTTAAGCTATTGTGTGAAGTTATCTACGTGCTCTCTCTAAATGCTATTGCACTTTTTTTTCTGGTAGCTGAAGTCTCTGCAGTTCTGCAAGAACCTCCCCATCTTTATGATCACTATATTAGTTGAGACTCTGGCTGTGTGAAGCATATCGGGATTTCATATCGGCAGTTCATTGTTCAATTCTAAGGATGTCCTCTGGCATCCTCTTTTTGGGGGTAATGTGAGACTGTTGTTTCCTGAGGATTAAAATAAACTGGTACTTGCTGTATTTAGTTCTTGGAATCCAATGGTGTAGAATGATTCTACATTGACTCCATGTAAGCAGTCCTTGATGTAGACAATCTTTTTTTCAGCCTGTCTGTCATTTATTTTTTTATGGACTTCTTTTAATTGCTGGTTTTCTGACAGCTTGCCTGTCCTTGGCCTTGTGTGTGTCAGTGCATCCTGGTGGGAGAAATTGGAGGTGAGACTGCTGGCTTGAAGTGAGATTGATTGGTGCCCTCATCCACAGTGCTACACATCTGTTTCATGCCTCTGCTCCTTCTCAAACTGATAGTGTAGAACGGCTGTGCACTGCCAGTTTTGTACAAATTCTACGATCAGTAATTTGCAGTGTTAGTATTTCGATTCAGTTTCAGGGAATTTCTCACCCACTTTCAGAAAAATACTTTGTGAAATGCACAGTGGAAGAAAGGAGTAAAGGTCAGAGCAAGATGGTCATTACTAAATAATCCTTGCATTTGATATGCAAATATATCATTTGTATATTTAAGTATATAAATATATCTATTTGTATATTTATAAGTATTTAAATATACAAAATGCTGAGAATGATAACAAATTCTGTATTTCAGGATAAGCAGGACTTGAAAGCAGGACCTGGAAGGTCAGGCCAGTCTCCCTGGGACAGGGACTCTTCCCATTTTGCTCCCATTAACGCTGCAAGCCAAATCCTTAACAAAGAGGGTGGTGCTACCTGGACAAGCAGGGGAAAGCTTGCCAGACAGTGTTATCAACGGCAAGCTATGCGGTTTTCCTGATTAGACTCCAGCAGTACTCCCAACGCACACGCTGGGGTCTCCAGGCCTTGGTTCTTGTCAACGTGCGCCTAATACTCTGGATGGGATGTTTGGAACTTTTGTTTGGTTTGGATACTCTTTTAAGTATGGTCTCAAACACCTAGCTGACTCCCCAAAAAAGTAATTTGCAGCACAACTCCCAATGACTCCTTCAGTCTCAGATCATCTCTAACAAATTCTACTGCTATGTAATACTTGGGTGCCAAGAACACGATTTGAAGGACTTTGTGTATGTACAACAAGGCATTGACTGAGGCTTTGGAGGTCATCTATGAGCTTTGGATTGGTGCGTCAGTCGACGTGTACTGAGGTCATCTATGCAACATGTCAGAGTTCAGAAGTCATCTGAGCAACTTAAACGTCAATCGCAGGATTGCGATATGACCCGAAAGCTGAAAAAAGGCAGGGAATTTTAGTTTCTTGGGTGGAATATTGTTCTTTACCAATCAACTTACACCAAAAGAAGTCTTTTTGGTGAAAATCTGTTCTAAAAAAAATTAGTTTCCTTTACATGGAAGAGAACAGTGGAAAAAGGCTGATGTTCGAAATTGGGTACGTAAGCAATGGTTCTAAAGGGTGTGAAGCCCGCACTATTTAAATTCTTGCCTTAAATTTATTCTTGGTAATTCACATATTGGGTGGAAATTTAATCCACTTTGAAAGCAGTAGAGAAATGTCCATTCTGATTTATAGATTTATTTTGCCGCATGCCTCGACTGATGAATCAAACTGTTTGCTCTTGGTATTGTTGAAATTTAGGAGCAACATTGAGACTATCAGTAGATTTTGTGCAGTAGCAAATACCGTGTAAAATAGTTTCTTGCTTACTTTGAGAACGGTCCAGAAGTCTTGTTGATTTGACCTTGTGTAATACCAAATTACTAAATCTGGTGTGTGTGTAAATATTATTACTGTTAGCAACATGTTGGCAACAAGGAAAACATTTTTGTTAGAACTAAAGCTTTGTTTTTGTTACGAGAAAATATTTTTTAAAAGTATTTTGAAACTAATCTCCACTGCAAGACTCTATCAGTGACCCAGCAATGTGAGTCAAATGTTTCCGTTAAAGATATACTGTAGTATCGTGAAATGTCGTACTAGACGTATTACCATAGTAACATCACTCTTTGAAGCAACTGATTGATGTCAGGTGCTGTTCCTTCGTTAATCTTCTAATTAAGGTTCCAATGGGTTTTATGCTGGAAAACAGATGAATCTTCACAAATCACAGAGGAATTCTGCAGTTGACTTAGAAGTTTATTTCTGCCCCTCTCCCCCCTCCCCAGAAGAATATTCACCAGGCTGCTCATTGCAAACGACTGTATCCATAAAGCTAATTGAGGCAATTTTAGATTGCACTAACACATTTCTGAGTAAATTTGCTGTTGTGCTTGTGTTAATGCTGTTAGGTTTGGGCCGATGAGCAGATCAGTTAGCTGTGATTGATTCCTCTTTCTCTTCTCCAGCTTCTTCTTCCCCCCACACCCATACAACATGCATGCTCTCTGCTCTTGTATTCTTCAGTTTCAAATATTCCAATTTATGTTTGTTATTGCTGTTCATTGCTGGCAGTGACCGTTTTGCAGAGGAAATGGAGTAGAAGGAGGGGTTCATTTCAGTCTTCTAAAATGAGCTTGGCATTTCATGGGCTTAATCAGTTAGAATTATTTAAATGGTCTCTAGTTGGTGTAAATGTTGCATTTCACAGCCCTTCAAATTATATTAATGGTCCTTTTATTGTAGATGTAAAATAGCAATTTGCTAAATCCTTATGGTTCTGCAATACAGCATATTTTGTATGAACTCGTAATATTTAAAGTTGTGGAGATTCAGTTATAGTGGGATTGGTGTCATGATTAATTCACTCAGGAAGTCTGGAATAAATATTTAGAAGGCTATCTGTTAAGTTTTCAGCTGCAGAAGCTTGCATGCAATGAAATGTAGAGGCAGAAAAAAGACATAACTGCACAGAAGGCCATTTGTCTGTTACTGCTACCTCTAGTTATCTCGCTGGAGTTATCAACTAATTCTCTTGGTAGGGTGACCTTGCTGAGTAATCTGTGTAATTGGAATTGTCTAGTTTGAGATTTAAATAGATAGCCATTAGAACCGAACTTTGACTAAAGACTGAAATAAGGTCCATTGTTGATTTGTGTGCTTAATCTAAATATTGCCATCCTCTCACTTTTAAATAACTGTCCTTCTGTCTTCTTTCCTTTTCTCCTTGAACAGTGTGATAGTTGAGGGCACCGACTGCGAGAATAGACGGAGCTCCTCCATCATGTTGGCCTGCCTTCAGCGAACACAAAACCCACCTGCACAGCGCCTATCATGTCCCAGTAAAACACTGGAGCCTCTGAAATGTGAGTGAAATTTGAATGATGGAAAAGGGATGTATATCTTGGTGCAATAGTGCTACAGAGACTGGTGATAAATTGAAGTATTACCTTGATCAGTTTTTTCCCTGTGCACAGCACTTTTTCACGTACTGTACTTTCTCACATGCACAACCAATTAAACCAAATCATTCAACATTTGGTATGTTCAAATGTACTCGCGTGTACTTTACTCATTGCTTAGTTTGCTTCTAAAATTCTGATTCTTGGCGTGCTATGGATTTGTTTTTTCTTAGTATTTCCTTGCTTTGCCCAATTTCCGAAGTTGCCCAAACCCGATTGTTTTCCACGCACCAGACGGCTTTTGCACTAAAATGGACTTCCCGGACATTAGGTCTCCTGAAGTCACTTCCTCCTTGAAGTGCACGTGTAAACCAGAGGGTTGTTGAGGATAAACTGACTACCCAGAAGTTAACTATTATTTTAGCATGGGAGCCAGGCGGCCAGCATAGGGAGTAAGTGCGATGCGTTTGTAAAATGGTTATCCTTATTTTATAGATCCCAGACTGCATTCTAACAAGGCTCCATTGTAGTATATAAGCAATACAAATGGGTTGTTGTCCCCTCCTGTAGTGAGAGGATATTGCTCACTAAAGTCAAAGGTGCAGTTTAGCTAATTTCCTTCTTCTGCTCAGTAATTAGCTTGATGCTTCAGTTTGTCCTCTGGCTTCCTTTTGCTCAATATTAAATGAGTGTGCCTACCTAGTAGGTCGAGAACTTGCCAGCACCGCTGTGAAATCATATTACCCTCAAGTTGATGATTAATTCTTATATTAATTTCAGCTAAAGGTGAATCTGAATATTTTTTACGCTTCTGTCAGAGCTATATGTCACTAACACTCATAAAATGGGAGCACATTTTCCATCTTTCTCACCGCTCAGCAAGGAAAGCCTTTCTCGCAACTGCTGATTTTTATGTTGCTAATTTAAATAGGAATTTTATGACAATCATTCATTTCTCCTCTTGCCTCCATTCCACCCACCACCCGTTTTTTGAACTGGGTACATGCTGGATTACAGTTTACAGTTGATGACCAATGTTTGGTACACTGTCCCAAATATGCATTCTCAAACAGTTTAGACAGTGATTCTAGGTATGAAAATCGAGCACAGGGGGACAGAGCTCAGGATAACAGATGAGCCGCTATCTTAAATTGGCATTCACATATGTACTTTAGGGATCACAGGACAGTAACCAGGAGCAAGAAATTTGGCTATTGTGATCTTTCCACCTCCCCTTCCCCCCTCAAGCAAGTGGACACTGAGGCTGATGTGGAGTCCTGTAGCTCAGTGGTTAGAGCAATCGCTTTGCAAGCGAGAGACCTGAGTTCAATTCCAGGCAGAGGGCGAAACCTTGGGCAAGTTTCCTTACTCCACACAGAGCCTAATAATAATCCCTCCAAAAATAATAATAAATTGGTCATTTTCAATCTACGACTGTTTGTGGGACATTGCTGTGCGCAATTGGCTGCCGCGTTCGCCCACAAATATACAGTCAATTCACTTTACAGTGTGTTCTGTGAAGCGCTTTGGGACGTCCTCCCGACGTGAAAAGCGCTATATCAAATGCAAGGATTATTATTGTCGCACCCCTATCATCACTGGTTGAGAATAGCTAATTCATTACAGACTGGAATCAAACCTGGTACAGCAGTTAAACAGCTGCCGTTGGGTAATCTAGCTGCCTTGCTTCCTTGCCCAACTGACCAACATATTTGGCATGTCTGACTGACTTATAGCTTTCTCGAAAAGGTCTATGGCCAGAAAATCCAAGCCACAAGTTCAAAACAATAATTTGGTTTGAAAATGCAATTTTCACATTCAATTACACCCTGTAAAATAACTGAGTGGAATCCAAACTCCTTAGCAGGTTCAGGCTACCATTTGAACTGGTTCTCCAATAGTCTACAAGCTAAATACTTCTTAATTCTGATATTTTTGCCCAATGTGAACAGGCTATAGTCAGTATTTCCTGCAGTCCCAAGAGCAGCATCTTGTTTTATGTGGCATTTTAATCAACATTGCAACATAATTCTAATGTGCTTGTAGATGGTGTTCGTTATAAACTTTCATTTGTAATGCTTTGGGATAGATAAGAAATGAATGAATTGTTGGGTCATTTTAATTAGAAACTTACTTCAAGTGAAAACTAAACTAGAATCGCCCTTAGCCTTACTCCAAAAGGCTTTTAAGCTCTCTTTAAGGAACAAGCATCCCCCGCTAATGGTTCTTGTATTCCTGCATACAGTGCTTGTGATTCATATTTTGAACAATTTCTCCAATGGATATAAAAAAGGGAGAAAGCCATTAAGAATGCCGATGGCCATCCCATCATCATAGGTTACTACATCTGGCACATAGGCTGAGTTAGCCGAGCCAATAATGTGACTGGACCTTTAAGGATGGAGAAGCTCAGTATTGGGGTGCGGGGGCGAAGAGGAGTAAAGGAAGGTTGTGATGGTTAACAAACCAAGTGTAGGACCATACATGTGCATTTGTTTGTGTTCCCATTGTTGCCTGGAATTCGATACTGTATAAACTGTGTTTGTCAAGCACCAGTAACCTCAGAATACCTGAGAACCACAACAATTTTACATTTTATTTAGCGCCTTTCATGTCAGGAGAATTGTCTCAAAAGCACTTTGCTTTGTTTCAAAGCGCAACCAGTTCTCTTTGAACGAGATCTCAAAAAGTTTAACAGCTAAATGCATCATTAAATTCTCCTTCCCACTGCTACTTTGTTGCCCTCCACTCAAATAAAGCGAATGAGTTCCAGAATAGACAGCAATAGCTTGCACTTGCAGAGGAAGTTTTCACGTAGGATAATGTTTCAAATTGCTTTATAGAGCCTACGTGATTTAAGTAAGAGAGGAGGAGAGTGGTTAAGACTGTTGACCAAAGGCACACTCAAAACAGGATTGCAGCAGGATTTTAGGCCAATGATTGATGGGGTGGGGGGCAAGGGAGAGCAACAGGCCCAAATGTGAATAAGAGGCTGGCGCTGGATTGCAGAGATGGGGTGGAGCACGAAAAAGGAGCAACTCGCGAAGAATATTCTATTACTTTCTCTCTTCAAGAAAGCACTAAATTACTTCCATACTTTCATAATTTTGTGCTGAAGTGATAAGAACTTTCTTTAAAAAAAATGTACAAAGTGACCTCTGTGTAAACACCTTTACAAAATGGAACTGGAGATTTTTAATTAAAATCTCAATCCACCAATAGTTATGGAAAACTTAATGTTCAGGCACATTCAGGTAAAGATGTAAGTCCTCATCATTGATCTACAGTATGTTGAAGACTGCAATCGTGGCTCACTCTGCAAGTGATCTTCAAACGATCCTAGATAATTTTGCTGTGGCCTACAATCTTTTCAGATTCTATTAAAGTTTCCAAAAGTAAAGTGCTTTGTCAAACTGCATCCGGCACTCCGGCTTCTCCTACATCAATAACCATCAAAGGAATAATTCGAGAAAATTTAGACCGCTTCACATACCTTGGTAGTTGTCTATCAAAGAATGCGAACATCAATGAGATTCAACATTGCATTAATAGTGCTCAGCAGCTTTTAGCTGCTTGGGAGACCCTCTTCAATGAAAAAGGATTGAAAAGGATTGCAAAGATCATGGTTTACAAGTTCGTCTTTCAATCCTGCTTCACTGCCCTGAGTCCTGAGTTACTTACAGCAGGCATCTTGAGAGTTTCCACCAACATTTCTTACGCTTCAAATTTGCTGGGGGGAAAACTCTGGGGTGATCGTAAAACCAATGCATTTGCTCTCTCAAAATCCAGTTGTACCAGTATTGAAGCTAGGTTATTGAAGCCCAACTTCACTGGGCTGGTCACGTTTGCTGAATGGATGACTCCTGACATCCAAAACACCTACTGTATTCTGAACTGCGCTCCGAATAAGTGTTGGCGGCCAGAAAAAGAGATAAAGATTCTTTGAAATCCAACCTGAAGAAATGCAGTACTGACGCCAGTACATGGGGGGAAACCTCCAAAGACCTCAAACTGTGACATTCCGTTTGTGAACACAGAGTTAACGATTTTGAGCAAGCTAGGATTGCCCAGGAAGAAGAGACGGAAGAAGGAGCATCTGTATGCTGCCACCACACCATCAACTGGGTCGTCTCTCTCTCTCATCTGGCACGTTTGAGAAAAATGACTCTCTAGGATTGGTCTCTGAAGCCACCTAAATGCCCACCAAAGATGAGGCCATTCATAAAACTCAATTCAGCCCCATGTTTTTTTTAAAAAAAGCTGAGGAACAATCTTACTTGATTATCGAGGCATTGCCTATTATTTTACTTTAGTCAGAAAGTCACTGTTCCAATTTTTTCTTACCACCTGTCTAAATCGGAGAGGAAATATTAATACTAAAAAGGCTCTTGCTTATTATGTCATTGAGATTAAATCATTATGGAAATCCCTAATGGTTCTGGGATATTGGTTAATGCGGTGTCTAAACACTGATTTGCCCACCGGCAGCTGGTTGAAAGTATTCTTCAATCTTGCATGCCTGCAGATAGAATCTCTCCTGGATCAGTCAGGTGTCATTCAATAAAGCTTCAAAGCTGTGTCCTGGGAGCTCTTTAGATTTTCCGAGTTTTGATGGCTGCAACCTGAAGCAATCCACACACAAGTCGCCAAATATCTTTGTCTAAATCTCTCTACAGCTAGTGCTGGTCAGTTCAGTAGGTCAATTGCAACATCTTAAGTTGTAGTTTTTCTGAAAGATTCTCCCTTCCAAATACCACTTTAGGGATACCTAAAGTGTTTTGAAAGATGTTCAGAATAAACAAAAAGATATCTGTAAGGTTGTCTTTATTCTTCAGACAACCGGGGCTCTCTGTAAACTTCATTTGCATAAACTGGCTGTTGCGTGTGCCTACAAAAATACTCACTTCTTCACAGTAAATCCTGTTAAGCTCTTTGAGAAAGGCATTATATAATGATCCTTCAGG